AAAAAAAAAAAAAAAAAAAAAAAAAAAAAAAAAAAAAAAAAAAAAGGCATGGTTTCATACATACAGCAAATACATATTTAGAACAATTAGAAAAGCACATTTAAGGCCTGGGGCCCAAGAGGAAACAAGTATACTACTATTCTTATAGCAACTTACTGAGTAAAATTTAAGACTGAATTTTGACTTCCCAGGTAATGGAAGACTATACATTTGTGGCACAGCTCTGTGAAGATCAGGCCCTCTGCATAAAGGTACAGTTTCTCTGTAAAGGGATAGTAATGCGTTTGTTAAGGTACAGGATGAAGTGAAACCAGGCTTTTCAAAGAACACTGCAACAATTTTAATGCTTCAAGGTGGCATTACAAAGGCCTTTAGGGAGGATGACACTCTACCACTAGAATCATTCTATTCCTGCCCTCATCTCCAAAGCTCTGAACTCTTAAATTAATAATGAGCACTTTTCCTGTTTATAATCCCAATAACCACAGGGACCTGCCCAGTGGTGAAGTACAGTAAGAGATCTGGAGTCGTAGGGGGCTTGTGGACTGGGAAAGGAGACAAAATGGCAGTGGGAATACCAAACATTCACATGACAATGCTGTAATACATGGTTATTAACAGCAAAAAGCACATAAGGCTTCTAGCAAGTAACTGTGGTTTCTTTTATTTCTCTTTGAAGAAGTACCAGGAAACTCTGAGGAAAATGGAAGAAGAACTAGAGACTCGGTTCCTTGAGAGAGAAGTGTGAGCTTTGGCAAACAAAGGAACATCCTGGTTTTAGTGGTAACCCCATCTCAGCCGGAGTCAGAGCAAACATTTCTCTGACCAATTCCTATTTGGAATTCAGTAGCCCCAACACCACATAACTTTCCTCTCTGTTAGCGATCTTGTTGACCCCCCACTCAACCACATCTATTTAAAAATGCAGGTCCTTCTCCTATCTTTCTTAACAGACTGCAGAAACATACCTTCCTTCATAATTGTAATCACATTGTCAATTATTCAGGTTTATATTAAGGGCAAGAACATGTGCTTTAAAAACGGTCAGGTGCCCGAGTGGCTCAGTCTGTTGAGCATCTAACTTGGGCTCAGGTCATGATCTCTGGTCTGTGAGTTCAAGCCCTGCATGGTACTCTGTGTTGACAACTCAGAGCCTGGAGCCTGATTCTGATTCTGTGTCTCTCTCCCTGCCCCTCCCCCAGTTGTGCACTCGCTCGCTCTCTCTCTCAAAAATAAACGTTAAAAATTTTTTTAATTAAATAAATAAAGTACAGTAAAATAAATAAAAAGGGTTAGTGGTCTGGCACCCTGATAAAATGGGCATTCCTTAAATTTTATAATAAAGGTCTTAAAATTAATACCATCCTCACTTGCCCAAAATGTATGGAAATTCAACCATATGGGATAGGCATGAAACTAATCTCCAGACACAAACTAGGTCAATCATATTATGAAACGCAAACTGTATACTATATTAAACTATTAACATTAAAATTAGAAATTAGAGTAAGAGAAAAGCCTCCCCTCCCCGCAAAAAAAAAAAAAAAAAAAAAAAAAATACTCCTTGAGTATATCAAGAGTCTAAATAGTGAGAAACTAAAACCAAAAACCTCACTTCCACTCCCTGACCCTCTTTAAAATTTAAATCTTAATTCACGTGGGAAGTATTTCCATGTATTAAATATTCTGGAGTCTTGGGATTAAGAGAAAAAGACCTAGACTTCATACAGCCTCTAAATAGGCTAGTCCACGTTGTGGCCTGGGGGCCAGGGCACCAGGACTTAGAGGTCCTTACCCCTAATGGACACCTTCAAGTCTCCTGAGATCCTTTCTGAACATTAAGTATGGCTTCATTACTAAGCCAAGATTTTAGAACAGGACTACCCAATGGAATTTTTTGTGCTATCTAGTATGTAGCCACTATGCACCTATTGAGTACTTGAAAGATGGCTGTTGTGACAGAGGAAGTGATTTTTTTATTTTCATTAAATGTAAACAGCTACATGTAGCCATTGGCTATAATAGTGGACAGTATAGCTTTAGAATATAAAACTTTTTTAAATAACCATGATGTAATATGAACATTTAAATGTACTTTATTCAATTCCCACCTTGGTTCTTTCTCTCCTAGATCAAAAGTCTTGAGCATGAATTCTGCAAGAAAAAAGTTTAACAGCCAAAATAATAAGGTAACCATTTCAGTCCACTTTCAGCTTTTCTCAGGGTCATTACCTTCAAGGGAGTTTCCAAAACACTATAAGCCACCAGACACATACCAATCTTCTCATGTGCATTTTCCAAGAATACTAGCACACATAATTCTAAAGCATTCCAACCCTAAACATACAAAGATGTTATGGGACAATGGTCTCTCTTCTCTCAGAGCCATGCAAATGACTTGTTCTCAAAGAAACTAGCCTCAAACCTCACAGAGTTTAGAATGGAAGCAGGAAGAAATATTAACTGAAGGAACACTCTTGTGGAGAAGAGGCCAAGACAGGACACTCCTCCCATCTCCCATAATCACAATGGTCTTCCCTGGTGATCCCAACAGGATCCCAAATTTCACACTACACAGAGCACCAGGGCATTTATCAGAATTAGCCCATGAGTTAAAACATGAGAAGTCATTACTTCTTTATGTAACAGCTTCAGTGTCTGTTCATATTTAACATCATGATGTCATTAGCATATATGCAACAGTCTAAAGGACACAATTGGATTTAGAGCATCCTCTTGGCCTGCTTCGTGTCTTGTGGTGGCAAAAAGATAAACTTCCATTAGACTTTAATTTTGTAACTTATATTGGCTTTAGAGCCAAAATTGACATTCACCAGAAACTTTATCATTTAGATACATAGTCTTCATAATTTCAAAAAAAATAAGTATTTTATTCCTAAAAAGCAAATATCAACAATCATCTATTGTCGTTGGGGTCATCCAGATGTTTGGATATATATTAGACCATGTTCACAGTGACCATGGTTACCATTATTCTGAACAAGTTATTTTGGCCCCAAGCTTGCATATTATACAACAACCAACAGCAAAAACAAAACTCCTGAAATTAAGTGGACTCCACCTCTCTAGAACCAAGCTTGGCACGCTCCCTGATATATCCCATCATCTATTCTCACTGACTAATCAAAGTATTCCTTCTCACCACCTATCAGAGAAAACATCTTCCTCAAGATTACCAGAGTCCCATGATGGTTCAAAGACCTATGATGTCTGAACAACCTTTACAGCCTGCCTGAGCAAATGACCAGGTGGCATGCTGCTTAATCTCACTCAAACTAGGGAACAAAATTCCTAACCCAGAAAGTTTCTTTCTAATTCCAATTCTGTGAGCATCATTTTCACAATTTTAAAATGTGATTGTACTTCTTCATTTTTATCTCACAAGCAAGCTAAAAGGAAAATGAAATAGCTGAGAAAATATTTTGGAAGAGAGATGCCACAGAAATCCAGGAAATATCCTCATCTTTATATTTTTAGAACTCTTAAAACTTCTCTTAGAATACATTTGTGTGGTTTTCATAGCCTGTAAACTTCTTTAAGGGTTACTGGTTAAGCAGGAGGTAAGGGTGTAATGTGGATTCAAAGGACCCAGGTTCCAAGTCTGGCCCTGCCACTTATTAGCTGTATGACCTTACATACAAAAAAAGGGCAACCTACCTTGCCTTTTCAGGCTTTCATTCATTTCTATCAATATATTAAAAAGTAATACAAAATTACACATACATACAAGCAAATATATACGCTTGTCTCTGAAAATTCCATCTGTTTATGCATATAAAAAATTGCAAGACATTATCTAAATATAACATTAACTAATGGCTCATTGAATGTTATTTGACAGTGAATGGTAGATTCCAGAAATTGCTTATTTATTAATGTCTTTCCTTCTCCCAGGATGATTCTCTCCAAAACAAGGGAACTTGGTTCTGTAAAAGGTAAGGATACACTTTTGAGTAAACTTCCTGGAAAATGGGGAGTTCCACTTAGCCGAAGTCTAGACAAGGAAACCCTTGTAGACATACCCACACACATACCCCCAGAGTGAAGTCAACAAACTAGTGTCATCGATGACCAAGTTTCTCACTTCTAACGTATGACTTCCTCATCCCAAGGCAATCCCTAATCTCAATTTTCCAGTTTCAGAAGCTAATAGGCTAGTAGTAATCAGAAATAAGAACTTTATTACCTAAGATAGATGTGGCAAATCTCATGCTTATTCCTTTTTCCCTTTAATGATTTGAATTAGCTTGATGGATCTGGCTCCCCAATAACATCAAGATTGGAAATGGGGATCCTTTTTATGATTCATAAGATGATTGGATTTTCACACTATTGTGTGAGATGTGTCCCCCGTAAACTTAATACAATGTCAACATGTTACATTAGAAATACTAGAGAATTGTACATCCATGTATACCCCTACTTAACAGCAAATGAGAGAAATGATTATGAAAGAGAGATCACACTCAACAGTACCCAGAACATAATTCCTCAAAAATACTTGTTAAACTGAGTAAGAGCTCAAGATTCAAACAACCGAGCGGATATTAGTCCTGAGGGAATCACTGTGATAGCAAAGTAAAATTGGCACTCATGACACCCCTGTATTTGTAAGAAAAGGTCAGATTATGTTCAATATAATTTATTTAAGAAGGCAAAGAGAAACATATATTCAAAGTGGCATGAAATATGATTTAGACAGAGTTCCATCAAAATGGTTAACGTAAAACTATTGATGCTTAAAGGTCAGCTTCAATTGTCTGGAAAATTTGCTCAAGGGGGATACCCCTTCATTATTACATATTCAGATATCCCTAAATACAATACTCCCTGAAAGCTAGCAGAATTTCCCTAGAACTCCAAGGCTGCCTTCGCCTATAATTTGACACCAGTGTTTAGCGTGAAATTACCCGCATGGGCTCCCAGGGTAAGAAGTATCTGCTTTAAAAGAGGGTTGGTATCCTGAAGAGAATCTGACAATATCCTAAAAATCTAGCTCATCATATCAAACTAGAAGGGTCTTTCTCTTGCTCTGCTCCAATATCCTATGGGGCACTGGTATATTGGGCACTGACTCAAGAGATAATAAAGGTAGATTATGCCTAGGATTTTCTCTGGGAATAACATCCCAGAACTTTCTTGTGAATACTGTATTCAGCTTCAAGGAGAATACTAGGAAGAGATTTGTAAACGTTTTCTGATTCTAATTCTGACCAAGATGTTATACTATAATGGATCCTAACTCCTATCACCAAGACCAATTATTGATGAGGAACGGGCTGTTTTTGACTGGTGGATGGAGGTAGGTAGTGAATTGGTGCTGCCTCAAGCAGCAACCTAGCACAACTGGGTAAGGGGTATACAGGAAAGGAAAAAGTAGAAATATGCTTGTGCAAATCATAGTAAAACCACAAGGTCAAAATAATTCATCAGTTTAAGAAAAAATCAAGACCACTATAAGGGGAATTTACAGAAATTCATTAGGAAACATTAAAAGTAACATGAATGAAAGAAGAGAAATATAGTGAGATAATCATAAATACATCAATTCTCTTCAAATGATAAGCTCATTTCAATTCCAACCAAACTGCCCAAAAGATTTTTCATTAAATTTAATAAAATTATTCTAAAAATACACTGGATATAGAAGAGTAAATAACTCAAAAATAACCTGGACAATTTTAAAGGAGAGCAAAGAGTGGGGAACGTGCCCTTCCAGTTATGAGGACTTACTTTGAAGCTACATTAATTACAATAGTGTAATATTGTCACAGGAATAAAATCAACCAATGAAATAGAAACAGGGCATATATGGAACTCTGATATGTGACAGTGATTGTATGTCACAGAGGAAAAGAAGAATTGTTCAATAAAGGTAGGGGAGGGGTGCCTGGGTGTCTCAGTCAGTTAAGCGTCTGACTCTTGATCTTGGCTCAGGTCATGATATGAGTTTGAGCCCCATAGCGGGGTCTGTGCTGACAGCATGGAGCCTGCCTGGGATTCTCTCTCTTGTCTCTCTCTGCCCCTCCCCCACTCACGTTGTCTCTCTCTCTCTCTCTCTCTCTCTCCCTCTCCCTCTCAAACATGAAAAGAAAAGAAAAGAAAAGAAAAGAAAAGAAAAGAAAAGAAAAGAAAAGAAAAGAAAGTAGGGTAAAAAATGATTATTCAGATGAGAAATAATGAGATTGGATCACATTTAAATACACACACACACACACACACACACACACACACACACACACACACTCTCTATATTTAAAAAGCAAGGCCAGATATGTTAAGGACTAAATGTCCAAAAGGAAAAAAAAATCTTTAAAAATTGACATTAATTATCTACTGCCACATAACAAATCATCCCAAAACTTAGTGTCTTCAAACAACAAACATTTATCATCTCACAATGTCTGTGGATTAGGAATCTGTGAGCCACTTAGCTGGGTGGTTCTAGCTCACCATCTGTTATTAGGTTGCAGTTAAGATGTTGGCCAGGGGCACCTGGGTGGCTCAGTGGCTGAGCATCTGAATCAGAGCCTGGAGCCTGTTTCATATTCTTTCTCTCTCTCTCTCTCTGTCTCTCTCTCTCTCTCTCTCTGCCCCTCCCTAGCTTGTGCTCTCTTTCTCTGCAAAATAAACAAATATTTACCAAAAAAAACTTTTTTAAGATGTTGGCCAAGTTAGAGTCATTAGAAGGCTAGACTGGAGGATCTATTTTCAAGGTAGCTTACTCACACATTGGACAAATGTTGTTGCTTGTTGGCAGGAGGTTTCAGTTCCTCCTTACACAGACCTCTCCACAGGACTGCTTATGTATCCTTCCCAGCATGACAGCTGGCTTCCTCCTGAGAGGAAAGAGGAAGCTGCAATGGTTTTAGTGTGTAATCTAGGAAGTCACACACTGTCACCTCCATGATACTCTGTTCTTGAGAACCAAGTCATTAAGTCCAGCCCACAGTACAAGGGAGGAGAGTCTCTTAAAGGGCAGAATATCGAATAATGTGTGGACATATTTTAAACTAGAATACACTGCTAGTAGAAAATAGGAACATCTGTTAGGCCTGCATGTAGGGAATGGTTTTTTGAATAAGACACAAAAACATTGGTTCTAAATAAAGATTAATACACTAGACTTTATTAAAATTAATAACTTTTGGGGCGCCTGGGTGGCGCAGTCGGTTAAGCGTCCGACTTCAGCCAGGTCACGATCTCGCGGTCCGTGAGTTCGAGCCCCGTGTCGGGCTCTGGGCTGATGGCTCAGAGCCTGGAGCCTGTTTCCGATTCTGTGTCTCCCTCTCTCTCTGCCCCTCCCCCGTTCATGCTCTGTCTCTCTCTGTCCCAAAAATAAATAAAAACGTTAAAAAAAATTTAAAAATTAACAACTTTTGTTCTAACACCTTAGAGAAAATAAAAGTTATAAAGTAGAGGGAAGATATTCACAATACACACAATAGAAAAGGACTGATATCAAGATCATATAAAGAACTCCTACGAATCAATAAGACAAGCCCAAACAACCTACTAGATAAATGGGCAAGAGCAGACATGTAAGACCTATGAGCAGATGTTCAGCATCATTGTTCATCAGGGAAATGCAAATTAAGCCCATTACTTTACACACATTTGGCACAATTTTTTAAATCTGATGATATCAAGTGTTAGAGAAAATATGGACCCAAAGAAACACATACCCTGCTGATGGGTTACAAATTGGTGGAAAATACTTTGGAAAACAACTCTGCAAAACAAAAAAATAAAACAAAATATAAAACAAGATCATTTCAGCCAGTGATAAACACTAAAAGAAAATCAAACATGGTGATGAAAGAGAGAGTACCTGGCTTGCCAGAGTATGGGAAGGAGCTGCCTTTATAAGGGGTTGTTGGTAATGAAGACAACACTTAGTGGGAGACATCTGAAGATCAAAAAGGAGCCAGACATGCATTTAGGCATAAGTTTGATTTTGTTCCTGGTTTCCTAACCTCTGGTTAACAGTTTCTTGACTTTCTCTTTTCAGGTTTTTTCAATATGTCTTTTCCACCACCCTATTTTTCATCAGACTGCTGGGCTACTTGTTTTTCCACATATGTTTTATAAATCCAGATCTCCTTATCAACACACTGCCCAAGATATTGAGCAGGGGCATTCTGTGGAAGCTAAGATGCTTCCTCTTTCCATCTCTCACACTTGAGACAGAGGACATGTTACCCCACTGATACATAAGAAATAACCTTGAGCAAAAGAAGACAAGTGGTGTCTGAGTCTGTAGACTAAGAGACGGCGGAATTTGCGGAGGGAAGAGGTTTCCTTCAGCTTTTCCCTTCAGGTCTGTCTACTTGATTATCTTCCATCTCCAGTTGTCTTTCCAAGATTGATCTTGCCCAGTAGAAAGCTCTGTCAACAGATTTCTAGGACTACAGGATAAGCTAAATAGCACCAGACAGTAAACAAACTAGACTACTTGGGAAACAATGTCATAGATGCTCAGCAAAGTTAGAATTGATATATTCTTCTAGAAAATCTTTAAAATCTGAGAGACTGGATCCCTGCAATGCAGAAGATTGCTCACTACTTATATTAGAACTCTTTGGTTATAAGTGACCTTAACTTAAGCTAATTTGTAAATTCGCAGAAATAAAGGGGGGGGCAGGGGTATTGCCTCATGGAACTAAAAATCTGCGGTTTCTGGCATGGCTGGGTCCAGGAGTCTCAAAGCAATGCCACTGGGATTTCCCCACTCTCTCTTTGCATTGGCATTCTCCTTTTAGTGGAAAGATAGTGCCAACAATCTAAGTCCCATAGTACAAGATTAGCAGCCTTGGTAGAATGAAACCATCTTTTCCAATAGCTACAGCAGGCAATTTCAGAGAAACTGCCTTAGCTGGGGTCAAGGGCCTACCCCTGCCCCAAACTCAGTGTGGCCTAAGGAATGGGAGTGCTCTGATTGCTCAGATTCAAGCATGAATCTGTGAAATCACATTTCCAACCTCTTATAAGGGATAGAGGAGGTTAGGGGGGAAAGAGTTAAGGAAGTTAACTCCACCTAAACTCAATGAAATGTGTTTCTGTAAGAAAAAGGGCCTCACTTCCCTCAAAAAAAGAGAAAGGGATACTGAGCAGGCAAAAGCAGATGCCCATTTAATCACTAATTTTAGCTTCACATGTAAACAACCAACTTGATCAATTAAACAAATTCTTAAAGCTATAGTTCACTGCATGTGTCTTCCTGCCAATAAGAACCACAACTTCTCAAGATCATAGATTGAGATACTGAAAAGCCACTGGAAAAAAACAAAAACAAAAAACAAACAAAAAAACACCTCGGTAAAAAAAAAAAATGTACATAATTAGGTTTGTAAGGCTAAAGCAAGGATTCTAAACTAAATAGCATAAGACTATAAACTGCTTCAAAACTTGGGATAACATATAATCAAACCTCTTATTTTTCCAATTAATTGCTGAAGCATCCACGTGCCTTATTAACATGATATATTCAAACTCCCTCTTGAAGCTTCCCGAGCCTCCTAAATTCTCCAGAGCCTTGACAGCATTGAAATCCAAGAGCAGGGAAGGGTCATTCTGCCTTCCACACCAGCAGGGAACAAACATAAAAACCCCTTAATTCATTGCCTCTTGAGGCCACACAATGTCAACACTGAAAATTAGTCCTACACAGGGTGATCAAATAATTTACCCTCCAATTTGAGACACATGTGGGGTGCCTAGGTGGCTCAGTCAGTTGAGCATCCAACCTCAGCTCAGATTATGATCTCACAGTTTGTGGGTTTGAGCCCCACACCAGGCTCTCAGTTGTCAGTGCAGAGCCAGTTTCAGATCCTCAGTCCCCCTCTCTCTGCCCCTCCCCCATTCTCTCTCTCTCTCTCTCTCTCTCTCTCTCTCTCTCTCTCTAGCTCTCAAAAATAAAGTTAGCATTAAAAAAATTGAGACACATGTGATAACAGAAAAGGTCACCTTTAATTATGCCAGGACAAGAGAAATCAAACAGAACCATGTCAACAGACCAAGACCTAAGATTGCCTCATGTGCAGTCTAAAGCCCTGCAGAGTGTGTTTTGCTGAAGGAAGTACGTCCTATGCTTCAGCGTTAAGTTCAGCCAAGGGTACCTATGCTTAAGGTCCCAGTGCCAGAGTTCAAGATGCATCTCTCCTTCTATTCCTATACGGAGCCCTCTGTTCCAGTGTCAAGTTTCTAAAGGACCAAGATTGATTTTAGTTTTTGCCAGCCTCACTCTCGCCTGCCTAGGAAACCCTTCAGTCTAGGAAGTCAACCTACTCTCAAGACACCCACAATGGGTGGGTGAGTGGGAGGTCAGGGGGCCACTCTGAAGACTCAATACTCAAAATACCAAGGGAGGCCCCAAGGAGCACACCTTCCCTTCCAGGCATTTTTCAGGCTTTTCTGGAACTTCTGCCCCTAGAGAAGAGAAACCTTTATTTACTAAAGTCAATATTCAACATGCCATTCTTTTCTAAAGTCAAACCTGGGTTTTCTAACTTAGTATCAACTGGTCTGTTTAGGCAACATTTCTGTACATCTACATTTTAAAAGTAATCATTCCTCAAAATGATGAGGTCATATTGCTCAAGATTTGAAAGCAGAAGGGAAAGGAAGAGAAATGAGAAAAGGAAGAAAAAGAAGTTAAATCCCTAGTTTTGTGTAGTGTTGGGGACATAAAGAAGACATACCATCTGTCTTTGGGCAGGTGAAAAGAAGAGACAGATTATGTGCATACATGATGAGTCCCACAGCAGAAAAACAGAGGAGGGAGTAATACCCCATGCCTATGTCCAATAGGAGGGGACATCAGATCCAAGGATGATGCCAGCCTGAGAGGAAGAGTAAGAGGCCAAGCACTAAAGCCGACCATGTGTCAGCAAAACCATTCTGCTGAAAAGCTAAAAACATCTTTTACCCTAGATGGATATTTTAAATAGAAGTAACCAGATTGAAATACCATAAAATTAAACAACTCTCTTTCTTGACAAATTACCTACAATAAGTAAATTCTTTCTTAATCCCAGGCTTCAAAAAAAAAACCCCAAACCCTTTTCTCCTGGCAATTATTAGAGTAAAAACACAGAACACCTGCAGACAGTACACATAACTGAGTTATTTACCCAGCAACCACCATGTCAATAAAGGTCTGCACTGCAAGCAACATTTATTCCTACACTGAATGGCACTGGAATTTTAGGATCCAGCGGAATCTGGCAGTTTTCTTCCTACTGGGTGGCCATGCCACATTGAATTGGATTTCATTCTTGGCAGAAGAAAAAGATCAGGTTGGGCCAGCTCCCATTTACCCCACCGCATGATAAAGCAAGAAATCCACACCTTCTAAATGCATGAATTTGAAACTCAATCATGAAAAAAAAAAAAAGAGTACTTTCACACATTGTGGTTTGAGTCATTTATTTTAAGAGAATTTTTTTAAAGTTTTCTTTCATGCATATTTCATTATTCACTATATTTTCTCTGCTGTAGCCAAGTGGAAAGATGCTGAAAAACAGCTCAAAAGTTATTGTAGGGGACACAAATCCCTAACACCAGCTTGAAATCCACAGAATTTCTCTGTTTGTTGTTTCAGTAAAGGTAAATGTTGACTGTATTGTTTGGGGTTATACCCAGAATGCAGCAGCTGAGAGAATTCAGAGCACGGATGTTTACTCAGAGGGTAAAGAAAGCCAGCAAGGAAAAAAAAAAGTAGAGAAACTCAGGAAAACAATTTTCATCATGTAATATCATAACTGGAGGAGATTCTGTTGTATTTTAGATAATTTTATTAAAAAGGTGGAGGAGGAGGAGGGAAGGAAGGGGCAGAAAGGGGAAAGAGGAATAAAAAAAAAAGAAAGGAAGAAAAATAGGTTGATCCCCTACTAGTATAGTATATACTAGCTGGTTTGTATGCTATATGCCTTTATCTCATCACAGCTAGTAACTATGCTTTCTGAGAGTGGTATTGAATTTTTGATTTTATAATTCTGAGAAACAGAGTTCTAGAGGCTATGGTTAAAATCACTGTTTTAAAAGTTCTTTCCATTAAAGAGCAAAACTAGTAGAAGCCCTACGCAGTGAAACAGAAAGGGGTCATTCATATGTTATGAGGGGTCGGAGCCTGCCTAGAAACAAGTACAGGGGAGGTAACTGGCAGTTACTTCCCCTGCTGAATATTTACAGAAGAGACTGGCTGTAGGTGCAGCAGTTTTCAGTGTCTTAATCATCGGAGAAAGCAGACCATCTTGCTTTGGCTCTGGAACAGTGTGCCTCCCTCAGGATTTGACTGCGGCCACAAGGTTCCCTCAGGAACAGTAGAGGGCACTGTTCCATGGTGTCTGCAGGATCTCCTCAGAAGCCATTTCTTTCCATCGGTAAAGTACACCCCTATTGGATGTAGAAAGGGGAAAGAAGGTCCACAATAGTAACAAATCTGTCCAATTTTTCACAGATTCATAGGCCAGAGTCAGGTTTGAACATCGAGCACTGAGGATATAGTATCCTATCCCAAGGGCTGAATCACTACCTACAATTACAAAATGCCTAAAATCTTCAGAATGTGTGTCTTGAGCGGAAGGATTTCCTTACAGTCTCTGCCCACCATGAAACAGGATTCCACACGTTGATGAATCCCCAAAATAGATCTCACTCCATAGTGCTACTTATATTGAATGCTATAAATATATAAATTTAAGATTCATGGCTGGGTGAAATACATAAAGGGGATTAAGAGCACACTTGTGATGAGCTGAGTAAGGTAGAGAATTATTGAATCACTGTATTGTACACCTGAAACCATTATAATACTGTGTGTTACACTTCAATTAAAAAATAAAGATTCATGGAGACACAGGTAAAGGACACATGTCGCTTATCACTTTAAAAACTAAATCAAATCCCCCTTTGGTCATGTTAATATTTCCTTTTCAAAGACTTCCCTCTTCCCAACTCTTCAATCAATCTACCTTTCTCTTCCACACAACTTGAAAAGAAATGGCTACTAAGAACCATTCAGCTCTCCCTCTCAGATTATATTTACCACTCAACAAAACCAAAGTTCAGGAGTTAACCTGTATGGTAACCTGAGTACATTCTACCACATACACTAACATATATCAGCAAACCCAGAAAGACTCTGCCAAGACAATCATCTGGCCCTTTTATAGCAGACATGATATTAACAATCATAAATTCCATTTACTGAGTGTATATTACGTGCCAGCACTTTACTAAGTGTTGCACTTGCACTACTGTATTAAACACAGTTTTCCAAAGTAGATTATTATTATGCCCAGTGTACAAATAAGGAAGCCAGTTCTGAGTTGGAAAAAAAATCAGAATCTGTGCCTGTGTCTCGCTCCAAGCTTGGACTATAAAATTTCTATTGTTTCTGACGTCAGACATTGACCACACAGCTAGCCAAGGAGAAGGTGGGGCATAGTCCAGAGTGGGTTGTCCACCCACCTGTCAAGGGAGAAATCTCAGCCATGGCTGCAATTATATAAGAACTAGCCACCAGGGAGACTCTCAGACAATTCATAGATTCACAGAATTGGCAAGGAATTTAGATATTGCTCTTTCAGGCCCAGTGAGGTACTTTCCTCCAAATCACACAACTAATGACAG